GCCACAGCAGGACGGGAGGGCCACAGGGGGACATCTGCGAGGCCACCGGCCAGTCTGGAGAATGAACCGGACAGGACACGGGCTCCAGGGCCGGCAGGCTCAGCACGGCTCCTCCCGCAGGCGAGAGCAGGCGGTGGTGCCCGGAAGACATGCCGCACCCCCCGTGTCACTCTGCACCTGGGCTGGACGCCCCTGGGCTGCTGCTGTCACCGGGCCACCCGGTGGCCCAGGGGGACATGGAGACTCAGACAGGACTGGGGATGTGCACAAGGCCCCAAGGCCCTCAACGGCCAAGAATGGACTCAGACGAGCTGTAACTGACCCCAAAACCCAGGTCCCTGGGCCGTCCTGCACTGCCCACTCAGGGAACCTCGGGGACCCTGCCACCCTCCGGCCCCGGCCCATCCCACGTCCCAGGGGAAAGAGCCTCCCGGCGGCTGTTTCCCCTCCCTGTGCAGGCCCGGCCTCGCCCCTGCAGGGACAGGCCTCGGCCAGGTCCCGCCTGCGGTGCAGGAAGGAGCTGGGACCACGAGGGACACGGGGACCAGACGGGGACGGAGCTAAAGGCCTCCCGGCTCCACAGGCCCCCGGGCAGCCGCCCGCCTGCATCCCCCGGGGCCGGCCGTGTGCGAGGCAGGTGTCTCTCCCGCTCACCTGCCACCTGCGCCCGGCACTGCCTGCTCCCCCCAGAAAGCCCCAGCCCAGGGCTCTGGGACCGTGCCCCGGGGAGGGGAGATGGCCCCTTGCCTGGGGCCACAGGACACGCGTGGGAAGCACCTCCGGGTTCCCTGGGAAGGTGCCCGAGCGTCCAGCCCTGGGGCTGCCCCCACTGCCCCCGCAGGGACGGTGAGCTGAGCTCAGGCCCCGGCGGACAGTGCAGGGGCCCCTCCTGCAGATGGGGGACAGGTGGGCCCGGGTCCCCACATGTGGGCCCAGGACCCCGCGGCCAGGCGGCCCCCAGACCCCACATCGGCCCCTTCACCCAGGGGACCAGGAAGCCCCAGACGGCTCCGTGAGCAGCCTGGTTCCGGAACATACATCACCGCCGGATCCTTCTCCTGGGACTCTGAGTGACAGAGCGCAGGGCACCCCTCCCGAGGGACCTCTCGGGATCCCGAGTCTGAGAACGCGTCCCCACGCCCCTCACCCTCGCCGGCCTCGGCCGAGGCTCAAGAGCGAGAAGCAGCAGCCCGGGACCTCCGCTGGGGAGGCAGAGCCACCCTGGCCGCCACCCCCGCACAGCTGGATAGAAGCTTCCGGAACCCCACTCCTTCCCCACTGAGCTCCAGCAGGCCAGTCTGGTCGCACGCCCCCCCCCCATCAACACACCGCGCACGGAAGGGCTTAAGGCCATGCCCAGATAAACACACGCAGGCCCCTACGGTGACATCTTGTTTCCAGGCGAGCTGTGATGTGACCTCCCCATGACAAGGGCCGGGGCGTCAGAGGGGCCACCGGCGGGCACGATTAACGCGGTGGGTTCCGGCAGCGTTGGACCAGTGCCGCCCCTGCAGCCCGACACAGGCGAGTCCCGCTGCAAGTCCACGGAGGACGGGGGCCGCCCGTGGGTCCCAGCGGTGACAGCCCCGCCACGGGAGCCTTTTGCAGGGCGTGGGCCAGCCGCACGGGCAGCCCGGCGCAGCTCCCACTCACCCTCGGGCACCGCAGGCACGGATGCCACCCTGTCCCCGACTGACGGCGAGGAAAGTCGAAGTTCGGCGTCACGTGCCAGCAGCAGGGTGGAGAAGGGGCCCAGCCCGGGAACCCCAGAACCGAGGCCTCCGCCACGGCACCACTGGCTGCCCGCCGAGTCGCTGCTCTGTCCCTGCGACCCCAGACCCCACTCGGGCCCGCACGGAGCAGGCAGGTCTCTGTGCCACCGAACGTGGCCGGGACACACTCATCTCCCCGCCCAGGTGCAGAGCCCTCGGGTGCCCCATGTCCCCGGGATCCTCGAGGAGGGGCACCGTGACGCCAGGAGTGCCAGGCTGCCACCCAGACCCCACAGGAGCGAGAGAGGCGGGGTGCTGCTGGAGCCCCCGGAGGCCCCCCAGGCTGGGCCGGGTGGGGAGGGCAGTTTGCAAGCGAGGAGGGGTCCGGAGGGGTGGCCAGCGCCACGGAACGCCCAGAGCCTGCGGTTCCCGCCCGTGGCGCCCCCACAGCCGTCCGGTCCCCAGGGCAGGTCTTGAGGAGCCAGGCTCCCCCCGCAGGCCACGGACGGCGGCCACAGCCACTCACCTCTCCTTGAACTCGAGGAAGACCTTGGCCAGGGCACCGCCCCCCGCCGTCACGGACACGCCGATGGCCCTCAGGAAGCTGTGGTGCACCCTGATCAGGTCCTGGGGCAGAAAGCACCGTCAGCGCACCGCCAGGCCCACCGAGGCACCGCGGTGACACTCCCGGTGGCTCTGCTGCGTCTGTCGGGGGCGTCTGCGTGCGGGGCCCGGGCTGGGCTGCACCTGCGCCCCCACCTACAGCGCTGTGACCGCTGGAAGGTTCTACGGCACAGCGGCACCTGCTATGTGGCCACAGCGGCGCCTGCTATGTGGCCACAGGGGACGCCCACAGCCACTGACGTCCCACGCACCGTGGCCAACCGAACGCGGGCTCCAGGGCTGGGACGGGCGGCAATGCCGGGCACCGCTTCTCCCGGCCAGCACCCTCGGGCGCCCCTTCCCGCCCAGACCCTTCCTGTCCGTGGTCACCGTCCCGGCCACGGCTCACGGCAGGGTGAACCCTGGGTCAGGCAGGGCACGGACAGTGGGAAGCCCCGGGGTCTGGGTCAGCTTCTCCCAGGACAGCGTGAGCAGCGCCCAGCCCGGGAGCCCGAGGGCAGCAGGACGGAGCCACCTGCACCAGCCACCGTCCCTGCGGCCGCCGGGCCAGAAGGAGGAGCAGCGCCGTGCTCCCAGAGCAGGCCCACCCCGCGTGGCCGCCAGAGCCGCGAGCCAACCGCCGGCCCTGCCACCAGGTCGAGGCGGGTCCCCAGGGGGGGACCTGCCTGTCGCACGTCCGAGTGCAGCGTCCGGGGGCAGGAGGGCTGCGGGTACGTGTCTCCCCGGCAGCCCACTTGCGGCGGGGGCTCCAGGGCCTCTCCCAGGGCCGGGCCCGCCTGCGCTGCGCCCACAGTGCACAAGGAGAGGTGTCTCATGCCCTGCCCGGACACCTCGCGCCCCGCCACCCCCAAGCCCAACGTCCCAGGAGAGGGGGCAGGGCTCTCCCCCGAGCCACCGTGGAAGCGGCAGGGACAGCGGCGCCTGAGCAGACCTGACGTCCAAGCAGCGGCCAGCGCCGGGGAGGACCCAGGGCCTCACCTCCAGGTTGATGAAGACGGCCGCCATGTCCGCCGGGCTCAGCACCAGCCGCAGGGGGCTCATGTAGTTCTGCAAGAGAGAAGTGTCCGCTGGGCCTCGGCCAGGGGCTGCCACCTCACCCACCGGCAGCAGGGGCCCTGGGGGAGGCTCGGCAGGCCAGGCACAGGGGAGCCCAGGCCGTGCCCAGCTCGGTCCTGCAGTGACATGTGCCGTGGGGGGCCTATTGGGGGGTGGATGAGATAGCACCCAGGCAACCGTCCCCACGCCCTGGGCCATGATGAGAGTCCCGAGGTGGACGCTGGTGTCACTTGTGGGAAGGACGGGGCCACCGCCCAAGGGCGTCCTTCCGGATGGAAGGGCCACAGTCCCCAGCCTGCAGCAGCTGCCTGAGCTGTCCCCCTGCGCACGCCCCCGGAGCTGCCATCAGAAGGGACACTGTCCTCCCCGAGGGGCAAGCGAGTCCTCCCGCCCCGGCCTTGGATGAGACCGGCAGTGAAAACAAAGGCACGTGCGTTAGACTGTCGACACCATCCACGCCCCACCCCAGGGCTCCTGGCCGGGACTGGCAGCAGCTCTCGGTGCGTCCAGTGGGGCCCGGCAGCTGCACTTGTCTGGGGCCACCACGTGGGGCGGGGAGCGCTGTCCAGAGGGACAGGTGCTGGTGGCCGCTGTGCGTGCCCAAGTGGTTCTACCCGTGCCGAGCAGGGGCCGGCTCTGGCCTCTCTGGGCCGTTTCCTTACCTGTGACGGGGCCTGCATGGCCGGGGGTGGTCCGCAGGGGCCCTCCTTCCTGAGCACACCCACTACCCCACCTGAGACCGCACGGCGTCCCCCAGCAGGAGCCGACCTCAGGGCCTCTGCCGGGAGGGCGGGCAGGGCTTCAAGGGGGCAGGGGGCCCTGGGCCAGGCTGTGCAGCGGGTTTGTGTCCCGGCCTTGGGGCAGGAGGCCCTGGGCCAGGCTGTGCAGTGGGTTTGTGTCCCAGCCATGGGGCAGGAGGCCCTGGGCCAGGCTGTGCAGTGGGTGTGTGTCCGGCCATGGGCCAGGAGGCCCTGGGCCAGGCTGTGCAGTGGGTGTGTGTCCAGCTATGGGGCAGGAGGCCCTGGGCCAGGCTGTGCAGCGGGTATGTGTCCCGGCCTTGGGGCAGGAGGCCCTGGGACAGGCTGTGCAGTGAGTTTGTGTCCTGGCCTTGGGGCAGGGGGCCCTGGACCAGGCTGTGCAGTGGGTTTATGTCTGGCCATGGGGCATGGGCTGGGGGACAGGCACCAGGCGCTGGGTGGGGCAGCAGGAAGGGCCCGGCCAGAGCATGGCAGGCCTGGACCAAGGCGTACCCCGGGTCTCCTGGCAGGAGCCACCCCACTGCCCTGGACAGTGAAGGACTCACTTAGGTGTCCCCATCACAGCCACCCTGGACTCCACAGCCAGGGAGATTCTATCTTAAAAACAGTGTTGTTTGTCTCGCCCCAGTGAGCACGGGCAGTTGGCAACAAGGACACCCAAGTGACAGGGCAAAGCCCCAGAGCCAGGCCTCCTAGGACACAGGGGCCGGAGCGGGTGGGGCAGGTGAAGCCACCTGTGTCCCAGGAGCTCGGCGGGCAGAGGGAGAGAGGACTTCGGAGGCAGAACGGCCATTTCCCTGAGTCTGCCGCAGGCTACCAGCCTGACCGCATTCCACTCGGGACGCTCCGGCTGCCTGGGGTGGCTGCTGGTCCCAGGTCACAGAGGGAAGCAGAGCAGAGAGGGCAGGCACGGCCCTCGGTGGCACACACATGTCAGTGGGCACATGCACCTGGGCTCAGAGCAGCAGGTGCTGGGACGGCCACCTCCTCTGTGCAGAGGTGCCTGACGGCAGGGCTGTGACGGCCCCCGGGCCCCAGGGCACAGCTGCCCAGGTCCCGGCCTCACGACCGCACTGCAGGAGACCTGAGGCCCCGCGGTGACACAAGGCAGCCACGGCCGCCGCCCGATGGCCCTCTCTCACCTTCTCGATGTCCTCCAGCGTCCGGTAGTACTTGGCCTCGGTCTCCTGGATCTCCAGCAAGCAGCAGCTCCTCTTGTCATCCTCAGTCATGCTCCTTGCCCGCCATGGCTTGGGACACAAACCCCTGCATAGCCTGGCCACAGGGCCTCCAATGCCCCCATGGCTGGGACACCAAACCCGCTCGCAAGCCTGGCCCAGGGCCTTCCTGCCCCCATGGCTGGGGCACAAACCGCTGCCACAGCCCTGGCCCAGGGCCCCACTGCCCCACATCGGCCGGAACAGAACCCCGCTGCCCCGGCTCGGCCCCAGGGCCCCGCCCCATGCCGGACACAAACCCACTGCAGCAACCTGGCCCAGGGCCCCTCCCTGCCCATGGCCAGACACAAAACCACGCTGCATAAGCCATAGCCAGGGCTCCAACTATATAACCAAGAGCAAGGACAAAAAAAAACAACCAACTGCAACACAGACCTGGCCCGGGCCTTCCTGCCCCAAGGCCGGACACACCCCGTGCCGCCTAGGCCCAGGGCCTCCCTGGGCACCCACTTAGGCCGCACCACCACGCATGCACGACACTGGCCCAGAGGCCTCCTGCCCATCGGCCGACCAACCACGCTGCACCGCACTGGCCCAGGCCTTCCTGCACGACATGGGCGACCAAACCCGCTGCCTAGCCTGGCCACGGCGCCATCACTGCACCCATGGCCCGGACACAAACCCTCATGCACAGCCTGGCCCAGGGCCTCCTGCCCCCCTTGAAGCCCTGCCGCCTCGGAGCCCGGCAGAGGGCCCTGCGAGGTTCGGTCACAACAAGACAAAGGGGGACGGCCGCGTGTGGTCTCAGGTGGGTGTAGTGGGTGTGCTCAGGACAGGAGGCCCTGCGGACCACCCCCGGCCATCGCAGGCCCGTTCACTAGGTAAGGACACGGCCCAGAGAGGCCAGAGCCGGCCCCTGCCTCGGCACGGGTACGGAACCACTTGGCACCACCAGCGGCACCAGCACACTGTCCCCTCTGGACAGGCCGCTCCCCGCCGCCCACGTGGTGGCCCCCAAGACAAGTGCCAGCTGCCGGGCCCCACTGGACGAACACGAGAGCTGCATGCCACGTCCCGGCCAGAGCCCTGGGGTGGGGCGGGATGGGCGTCGACACGTCTAACCGCACGTTGCCTTCTGATTTTCACTGCCGGTCTCATCCAAGGCCCGGGCGGGAGGACTCGCTTGCCCTCGGGGAGGACAGTGGCCCGTTCTGATGGCAGCTCCGGGGGCGTGCAGCAGGGGGACAGGCTCAGGCAGCTGATGCAGGCTGGGAACCTGTGGGCCCTTCCTCCGGAAGGACGCCCTTGGGCGGTGGCCCGCGTCCTTCCCACAAGTGGACACCAGCCGTCCACCTCGGGACTCTCATCAATGGCCCAGGGTGTGGGGATGGTTGCCCTGGGTGCTATCTCATCCCACCCCCCAATAGGCCCCCACGGGCACATGTCACTGCAGGATGCAGGCGGGGCTGGGCACGCCGGGCTCCCCTGTGCCCTGGCCTGCCGAGCTCCCCGGGCCCCTGCTGCCGTGGGGTTGAGGTGGCAAGCCCTGGCCCGAGGCCCAGCAGGACCACTCTTCTCTCTTGCAGAAATACATGGCCCCTGCGGCTCGGTGCTGGCCCCGGCGGACCATGGCGCCGTACCTTCATCACCCTGGAGGTGAGGCCTGGGTTCCTCACCGCGCCGCTGGCCCGCTGCTTCGGACATCAGGTTGCTCAGCGCCGCTTGTCCCTCGCCGCTTCCACCGGTGGCTCGGCGGGCGAGAGCCACCCGCCCCTCTCCAGGGACGTTGGGCTTGGGTGTCCTGGGCGGCGAGGTGTCCGGGCAGGGCATGCACACCGTCTCCTTGTGCACTGAGTGCTGCGCAGCGCAGGCGGGCCCGGCCTGGGAAGAGGCCCCCTGGAGCGCCCCGCCGCAAGTGGCTGTCCAGGGAGACACACGTACCTGGGCAGCCTCCCCTCGCCCGCCGGACGCTGGCACTCGACGTGCGAGCAGGCAGTCCCCCCCTGGGGCCCGCCCTCGACCTGGTGGCAGTGCCCGGCGGTTGGTCGCAGCTCTGGCCGCCACGCCGGGGGTGGGCCTGCTCTGGGAGCACGGCGCTCCCCTGCTCTTCCTTCTGGCCCGGCAGCCGCAGGGACCGGTGGCTAGTGGCAGGTGGCTAACGTCCTGCCGGCCCCTCGGCTCCCGGCTGGGCGCTGGCTCACGCTTGTCCCCTGGGAGAAGCTGACCGCAGACCCCGGGGCTTCCCGCTGTCCGTGCCCTGCCTGAACCCAGGGTTCCCCCCTCCCGTGAGCCCGTGGCCGGGACGCAGTGACCACGGACAGGAAGTGGTCTGGGCCGGGAAGGGGCGCTCCCGAGGGTCGCTGGCCGGAGAAGCCCGTGCCCGGCATTGCCGCCCGTCCCAGCCCTGGAGCCCCGCATTGGTTGGCCCACGGGTGCGTGGGAACGTCCAGGTGGCTGTGGGCGTGCCGGCCTGTGGCCACAATAGCAGGGCCGCTGTGCCCGTAGAACCTTCCAGCGGTCACCGGCGCTGTACACGGCTGGGGGCGGCAAAGGTGCAGCCCAGCCCGGGCCCGCACCGCAGACGCCCCCGATACGACGCAGCGAGCCGCCGGGGAGCTGTCACACCGGCGGCGCCTCGGCTGCGGGACCCTGGCGTGCGCTGATGTGCCGCTGTTCTGCGCGCCAGGACCTGATCAGGGTGCACCAAACCGCCTTGCCTGGCAGGCCATCCGGCGCGTGTCCGTGACGCGGGGGGCGGGCGCCCTGGCAAAGCGGCTCCTCCTCGAGTTCAAGGAAGAGGTGAGATGGCTGGTGGCGCCGTCCCGT